TGGTGGAGGTTATCCCGAGCCTCCTCGCAGCATCGAGGGTCAGGAGTTCACGCCGGGGCGTGTGTGCGTGCGGGCCACAGACGGGCACGTGTTTGCGATCGGCACCGACCGTCCATCCAGCGCCTCCGAGGCCATCCCCGTGGCTGGCGGTCGACACGGAGCCCACCGCTTGCAAACTCTGGGGCTGTCGACACAGCTGGTTGACGGCGAGACCCAACGTCGCCCCGCTGGGACTCCGCCCGCCGCCGCCCCTGGTACTCTCGAAGACCCGTTGCCGGGTGCCCGCGAACGCGCCTTGCAGAGGCAGGACAACGAGGCCATCCGCCAGCTTGCCGAGAGAGGTCCCTTCGCGTCCATTCGCCCTCGTTCCCCTGTCAGCGACTCCGCCCGAACGGACAGCGAGCCGCAGCCACTCACGCCCGATGGCCGGACCACGCTGAGGAAGGCGACCCCCGCCCCGGCGAAAGAAGCGGCGTTTGGCAACGTGCCTGGTCCAGGTGCGACCCGCAGCACTCCCACACTTGACGAAGGTCACGCTGCGACAGACGGGGGCGCGCTCGTGGGCGAGGGCGGGCGCGGGTCTGATGGCGAGCGTCAACGGGGGGGGCCTGCCCCCGCTTACCACGGCGCAGCAGTCCTCCCAGCCCCAGCTGCTGGAGGCGACTCGGCCTTTACTTGGCGGCCAACCGCGCGGCCCGCGCCAACCCGCAAGTCCCCGCCGGACGTCCGCGCACCAGTTGCCGCCGCGCCCCGCGAAGCCATAGACGATTCCGGCGGCGGGCCCAACCAGTCGGAACAGTCGCAGAGCAGCGTGCGTGAGCAGCATACGGAGCAGGAGCCGGAAGAGCCCGATGAGCAGGAGCTGCCGGCCGCCCACGGGGAGGGCGCGGAAGTGACGCCAGCGCAGAAAAGGGAGCACGGGCAAGAACAGGAACAGACAACCACCCACCGCCTCACTCCCCTGGCTGACACCACCTGCCCCGGCCCCTCCCTCCCAGGCAAGGGCGCGAGCTCGAGCGCCGAGGGGCGCCGGCAGTGCGGCCGGCACGTTCTCCCAGCGCGTCTTCGTGGCAGCGGGTGGACGCCCCGCCTAGCCTCTGTGACTGGCCGCCCTCCAGTCTCCCCCCTGCCCCTGGGCCGAAACCTGGCCAGCGACGCCGGCCGCGCTGGCGGGGCGGGCGGGCGGCAGACGGCAGGCGGCGGACGCAGCGCAGCAGCCGCAGAAGCAACAGCAGGCGCCGCGCCGAGGGCCAGCCGCTGACCGCCCCGCCCCTGGTTTGGGGCCCCGCCGCGCGCCGCGCGTCACTGTCCAGAACTTTTTGACCCAGACACGGGACAGCAGCTATATAAAACTAAGATCGGCGACATCCAGTGGGACCTCCCCGGGGAGACACCTGGCGAGACGATAAAGCGGTTTCAGGCCTCCCTGGGAGCGTGGTTCACAGGCGCCTGGCACGCGTTCGCCGGGCAGCGCGCCTTGCCTAGCTGCAAGGGCGCTTGACCCGCGGCGGCACGGCCAGCAAACGTGCGACAGCTTCCTGTCGTCCTGTCGCCGCCATAAGTGTGACGTGCGGGCCATGGACGACGCACTGGGCTTCGGCGTTGACTGGGCGCAGGTGCGGCTTCGGTACCTGGGTGAAAGTGACGGCGCGGGCAGGGGGCGCCAGACGGCGAAGGGCCACGCTGTTCGCCGCGCGCCCTAGACGGACCAGGAACAGTGGAAGGTCGTCACCTAAGCTGCGCGCGGCTTCTGCCGCCCCCCCTGGCACGCGCACTTCCTGCCTTTGGATGCAAGTGTTCGTGCCAGTTATATCGTCCACGCGGCAATCTCGGTAGCGCGTGGACCCGGGGCCCCTGGCCTCTCTGTACTGTTTTCACCTGCTAGGCCCAGCCTGGCGCGCGGATGTGGGCGATCCGGCGGTTTTCGCCGGCCATGGCCTGCGCCAGTCCCTGGATTCTACCAGCTTCTACGGCCTTCAGCCGTGCCCCTGGAGCGATGCGGCTGTGAGGGGCGCGTCTTGGGTATTCGACGGCCCCGCCCCTCGGGTGCTACCATGCGCAGGCGCGTGGGCGGCGCTGGGTCGCATTGATCGGTGCACTTCTCAGCGACCATCGTGTTCTCACCGTGGGGTTTCGTGCACCTTGCTGCGTTCTGACCAGGTCGCTGGTTTCTTGGACGCAGGCGCATCTCAGCAGTGGAAGGTTCTTTTCGGGCGCTTTAGGCTTCTACTCCCTGGATGCGGGTTCTGACGCCGCGACGGTTCGCTGGCGCCGTCAGTTTATTTTTCCCGCTGGACTGCGTCACCAGTGTCAGTCTGCCCATGCCCGTCAGACTCCCTGGATTGACACGGAAATCGTTCCCTACCTCTGTTCGTCCGTAGTGTTCACAGTGGGAACGCCTCGCGCGCCATTTTGGCTGCGCTCGGCTCTCCTCGGTGGCTGACCTCTCAGACTCCCTGGATGCGCCGTTGCATGTTCACCTCAGGGGCTGCCTGGCGGACTCCCTGGATTTGCACGCCTTGGCTCCTCAGACGCCCTGGGTTGCCGCTGCCCGCCGCCTGACCGCGGCCCCTCGCGCGCCCGCCCCCTAGTCGCGGCCGCAGCCCGACCGTGACCGCCCGCCGCTGGCGCTTCCGCCTGCGGCCGTAAAAAAAATCCCCACCAGTCCGTGAGTATGGATGAGTCAGGCCTCTTTCGCCGCACCATCGTTTACTCGTGGTGCTGCAGTGAGCCTGTGGTAGTCGCTCGCTTTCGCTCTCTCCCCCCCCCCCTTCCATGGTCTTGGGCGGCCCGTCCCTGTGTGCGCGCATGAAGGCTTCGCTTGGTCAGTGGCCATTCGGATCCTCGTTCTGCCTGCAGCTTTACAGTGCCTCGCCGTCCGTATTGGCCTCGCCTCCGAATGTGGGTCGGCTGGAGCTTGGCGCCGCAAGGGCGACTTCCCCCCCCCGTTCCGCTGTCGGTTGCCGCGCCTCTGCTTTCCCACCTGCCGGGATGCCTGGGCCGGTCACCTGCCGACGCTGTCCGCGTCTCAATGAGGGGCATTTTGTCCCTGGCATGTGCATACGCCACTGCGGCCAATTTACATCGCACCGCGCCCCGGACGTTGTGCACGTTCCCTGTCCCTCGCCTTGGAGCCGCGAACCAACAAGTATCCCCACCAGTGCTTCCGCTCCCTGTCCGTTGCCTCGGAGCCGCCGACCAAAAAAATATCCCCACCAGCGCATCGCGTGTAATTTGCCGTGTTCCGTTGCCCCGGACATCGCTGTTGCCGGCTGACCTTTGTCGCGCGGCCGCCGACCAAAAACATATCCCCACCAGCCCATCCAGAATTGATTGTCCGTTTTTGTTGATGCGTTTTTGGAGGCTATCTTGAGCCATCCTCGGCTATTGGCTGTCGGAGGCTACATCGTGGGGCCCTCTTGGGGTCCTCTGGAGGCCTTCTCGGGGCCCTCTTGAGGATCTTTTGGGGGAGTCTTGGAGCCCTCTTGGGGCTCTTTGGGGGGTCTGGGAGGCCTCTTGGGGCAGTCTTGGGCACCATGGCTCAAAAAGAGGGGGGGGGAATCCGCCCCCTCCCGTCGGAGGCTGTCAAACGGCATCTTCGGGCCCTCTTGGAGCGCTCTCGGGCGCCTCTTGGGCGATCTTGGGGCCGTCTTCGCCCTTCTTGGGCCCCTCTTGGGCCTCTTTTGGGCCATCTTGGGGCCATCTTGACGCTTCCAAAGCCAATCGGAAGCGAAAAGGCGATAATGCCAAACACATTGATTGTCCCTGGGCTTTTGAACGGTTCTGACATCGTGGAGGGCGCCGTGGAGGGCTCGAAGGGCATTTGGATCCGTCTTGGGGCTGTCTTGGGGCCTCTTGGGGGTATGTCGCAGGCTATCTTGACCCATCTTGAAGTAGCATGGGCCATCTTGGAGGCTATCTTGCGACTTCGAAGCCCTCTCGGAGCAATATTGGGCCATCTTGGACGCTGTAGCGCCTCGGTACCCCCCCCCTTCCTGGCCCAGGGGAGGGGGTAGGGGGAGGGGTTTCAGTGGAAGGGAGAAGAAAACAACGCGTTATACCGCCTAAGCCCAGAGGGCTGGTGGATTTCGGTCTTTAGCGTCGACTAGCCTCGATTAGCATTTGGGAGTGCATGGGATAGCTCCGATTTAGCTTCGGTCAGCGTCGATTAGCGTCGATCTAGCGTCGACTCGCGTCGATTTAGCATCGATGCGTTGTTTCGCAAGAGCCGACAAGATGTTATGGGAGGCTCCGATGAGTTGCCACCGAACTTTCCTCTGGGCTGGGCTTCTCACCCCGAGTCGTCTGCTGACTGTCCATGGGGCCAGCGAGGACCCCCCCCCCCGTGAGGCGGGAAACGGGGCAGAATGGCGGCGCGCGGAGAAGTTGGCGCGGGGAGTGGGTTTCTAAGAAGGCACGGGGGCCTCGATAGTCAGGATCGTTGAACCGACCACTATGACCATCCCCATCCCCATCCAGACCCCAACCATTCACCACCCCACTTGGGGACTTACCTTTCGAAATCCGAAGGTGACGGCCGACATCCCCATCTAGGTGGGGAAATCGGCAAGTGGGACCCAGGCAACGCCGCAGGGGATTATTTGGGGTCGGATACAGTGGCCTCCTTAGAAGCGCGTGGGTACGTCTAAGGAACTTCCTTCGAAGCCATGAGGGCCTCGAGTAAGCCGCATGCCTTCCGAGAATCCCCCGCATTGTTAGAAGGCCGCCCCTCTCGCGCTCCCCTGTCTGCGCGCCGCCAAGGACAATTTCGGCGCAATTTTCAGTTCACTGCCCCTGAGACGTGACTTGCAGGATCGAGGACTGAAGGAGCGTGACCACAAATGGTTCCGAACGGGCCCTCAAAGTGCCACTGCGGGCCCAAAAGGTGCAGAAAAGGTTCATGCTGCCGAGCGCACGACCTGGGAGGCCGAAAGCGGTGAAACCGTACGTGTCGTTGTGATTCAATGCGCTGGTGATTTGGGTATTTGGCGGCCGACCAGGCGGGCCTCGCCGTGCTTGCGCTCGCCGTGTCAGCGTCGCGTGGCCCCGCGGCGGGTCGCTGCGGCGGCTGGCGCTCTGGCGGCGCGCGCGCCGTGAGCGACACGGGCGGTCTTCTGGTGGGCTGCGAGTGACTCCAGGCCTCGAAAGTGGGCGACGACGAAAACGTGGTCGAGTGCGCGGACACTCGCGCGTAAGCTTCCCGCGTACGGTCGCGCGGTAGCGCTCTCTTCTCCACGCAGTGTGCCACGCTGATTGCTGGCGTAATTTAGCCGATGCGTGAGGTCGCTATGTCTGATCGGGTTAGACCCTTCGTTTTCGCCGCCCAAATGCTGTCCGAGCAGATGGGGCCGGAGGATCGCGCCGCATCGCCGACACATCGGCGGTGCGGCTCAGTGTGGGGCCAGACCTTCTCCACGCCGACGGCGCCGGCAGCTCCCCGCATGCGGGCTGCGAGTGGCGCCACTTCGGAGGGCGGCCTTTCCCTCTTGGGTCCGGAGATCAGGTGTAACGTTAGGGGGCACTAGGCAACGGGGGGATGCATCAACCCTCATCGCTCATTGATCGCCGATAGGAACCCGATAGCCCACTCCGCCCAGGACCGTGCGGATTCGCTTATCGGAGGGCCTATCGCCGATCTATCGGCGATGTATCGCCGATTCCAGGTCGGTGTTTCCCTCTCCGCCTGAGCTGGTCCCCCCCATCGTCGTTCTTCAGAAGAACAAGATGCAACATCTACGCATACCTTCGGAGGGCCTCGCGGAATTCTTCGGTTCGGCGTGGGCCCCCCTCTTTGGCGCCGCCTCTCTCGCCTTTCCTGGCGCGCTCCGCGCCGACCCGAGGGAAGTCCTCGCAGGCCTCCGACAGTTCGTGCTGATGGTGTGTTGTGTTGTTTCTCCTTGCAGGGCAGCCGAGGGCGCGGATGGCGGTAATTCAGGGCGGCGTGACGGATCAGAAGCGTTTGCGCCGCACGGCCTTAGCATTGGCTCCCGTTCTCCCTCTGCCCCTGCCCCTGTCGTTCCTGTCTTGCCTCCCTCCTTCCTTCAATTCTTCTCTTCCCTCCAAGTCTTCCATTTTCGTCCACGGCGTCCTCTTCGTTGCTTGCCTCTCGCCCCTTGTTCCTTCCTCGCCCTCCTCGACGGCATCGTTTTTGTTCTCCTCCTCTTGCCCCTCCCTCCTCATTCGTGCCTCCTCGTCCATCGCGTTGTCGTGTTTTTTTTTTTGTTCTCAGCATCAATCCCATTTCTTTGTCGATAACTCCCCCCTGACGCATCACCATGCGTATGCGCCTGGCGTTTTGCTTGAGACTTCTCTGTTTCTTCGCAGCGAAGGATTCCAGCATTCCACCAGTTGTTTTGCAAACTATAGTTTTCACCTTAGTGCCGCGCACGTTCGCCGAGCAAACAAAGAACAGCTACATGGATGGAAGGCATGTTGTGTCGATTGGGCGGGTTTCGTTTTAGTGTCGCGCATGTTCGTTTGTTTTATCGCTGAGCTAGCGGAGGGGCAGTCGCTTTTGACATTGGTTTCTCGGTTTAGCGCCGCGCAGATCCGTGACACCATAATTCTAACAGTTGCACGGATGGACGCAAAGTCGTTCTCAACATTCGGTTCTCGTTTCATTGTTGCACCATGTTGGTTATACCGTTGCGCACAGTCAGGCTCAACAATTTATCAAACGGTTCCAATTTTCGGCTATCGATTGAGCTCCGCGCACTGTAGATAACAGGTATTCAAGATTTACGCGGATGTATGGCCAGACGTTTTCAAAATGCGATTCTCGCCTTAGCACAGTGGACTTTCGCGTGCAAGCAAAATTCAGCATCGAGGATGTTCAAAGTGTGGTTCTCATTTTAGCGCCGCGCGTACGCGTTTTTTGCACATTGTTCTTTCATTTTGCGCCGCGCGTACGCGCCTAGTAGACATTATGCAGACAGTGTGACTAAGTGCGTCGTGTAAAGGAATACTCAAGAACCATATTTTCACTTCTAGTCACTCACCTGCTCATGTTTGGCCAGCGGTGTGAATACATGTGTCGAGAGCAGGTTCGAGCTCGATCGCACAACGCCAGGAACACTCCGGGCTCCAGCGTCGTGCAACACAACAATGAGACCAACACTCAGCGCAGATTAAGCGGGCGGGCTCAGGGTGGTAGCCTTAATTGCTGTGGAGTGCATCGGACTAGGCAAAAAAACGTTCCCGCATTTTTCCGGATTTTTCTGGGATCGTTTTACTGTCTCCAGATGGCCTCAAAACTACAGGGAGGACGAAACACTATGATTCAATCGACGATTCTAATCACTCACCTGCTCATTTTCGGCCAGCGGTGTGAATACATGTGTCGAGAGCAGGTTCGAGCTCGATCGCACAACGCCAGGAACACTCCGGGCTCCAGCGTCGTGCAACAAAAAACGAGACCAACCATATTAGCTAAATCAAGCCCTGCCATGTTTAGAGCCTGGCCGGAGGCCACCAGGGGTGGGAGGGTTCGGGAATACAAAAAATTACTCCACACACAGCAGGCGTTCAAAGCAATGCCTCAAGAGAGTCTACCTCGAATTTTCTCTCTGGAGAAATAGCGCTAGACACTACTCAGGGCAGACCATATTTCTCTCCTCCTGCACGCCTCCAACGTTCCATTTCTGAAGACAAACTCCGCCGCTCCCGAATGTCGCAGGGAGTGCGGCTGGCCCAAGTCATGCAGGCCGAGGCACCGGGCGGCCTGGCCCCAGTGCCTCCTGTATTCGGTCGTGGTCAGGGCGAACACGAGGCCGTCCGCTGGAGCGGCCCTCGCCAAGCCGCTGAGGATGTCCGCCGTGTACGGGCTGGCCAGCAGCAGCCCCTGTTTCGCTCCCGTCTTGACCATCTCGCCCCGGGCGCGACTGCCGAGCCTCACCGCAACACATTCGCCGTCCGTGATGACGTCGTTGCCCCTGAGGCGGTACCAGTCTTGCTCCCGTCCGAAGATGTCGTAGGAATACAGGACGGCCACCGCGGACATGACGTGGCCCAGCTCGATCAACGTGAGAATCATCAGCGCGACCACCTCAAGGCAGATGGCCTTCCCCTCCGGCATCATCTTGAGCGCCTCCCACGCCTTGACAGCCCTGGAGCTCAACGGCATGGAATCTTTGTGATCAGGGAAGATGTGGGCAAACCCCGACGGGAGATGGCCGCCATGAGCGTGAGGTAGCTGCAGCGTGTAGCACATGAAGGACAGGTGCTGCGCCGCCGCGTCACGCTGCTTGATCGTGTCCAGTGGAACGTTGCCCCTCTGAGCGGCTAGCAAAAAACGGCTGACCCAGGTCACGTAGATCCAATTCGTGTTGTCGTCCACCTTGTGAATCAGCAGCCTCGGGGCCTCCACGCCGAATCCCTCGAAGAGTTTCTTGTCGGCCGCGTTGGTGCAGGCCCTGGCCCCTCGCCTCTGCAGCGGGGTCACGTCCACCCTGCGAACCGGGCGCCGACCGCCCCCCGGAAGATCTTGAACTTCTGTCTTGAATCCTTTTCTCATTGACTTGCCGCCGCTCGCCAAAGAACCATAATCCACTTCACCCGGGCGGCTCGCGCGCTTGACCCGGACCGCGCCGTCGACCATGGAGATGTTCATGATGACGAACAACAGAGACGCCAAGAGGATCCGAAAATACCCGGTTCCCGCACGCGTCATAGGCGAACCGTTCCTTTCCGACGCGACGCGGCATGTCGCGGCCTGAATCTCGTCAGGCGTGCCAGGAATTTCTTCGGGATTCCGTTCTCTTTTCGAAGAGCTTGGCCGGCCGTGTCCTTGTCCACGCCGAGCGGTCGTCTTCGCGAGGGCCCGTCGGCCACGCTGTTCGGGTTGGATACCCATCGGAAGAAAGGCCTCAACCCCGCCACCAGTTGCACCACGCCCGCTTGCCGACAGGTGAAGGAGGGGCCGCGAGCTCGAGCGGCCCTTCGCCAGGCAGCCGAGCGTGACCAGGGAGTCGGTAATGATGAGGACCCTCTTTCTCCAGTGCACCGGCGCTCTTGACATGCGGCGTAGGATAACGACCGCTCATGCCCCTCCTTGTCCCACTCCTTCATGGCATAGAGGTGCCAGCGCGACTGCTTCCGCCAGGGCGGCCCGAGCTCGGGGGGGGGGGGCCCGCGGCCTGGAAGGCCGAAGGGCCCAGCCATTCGCGCCCTCGCTCACCTGGCGCGCCAGCGGGACCCAGTCGGCGGCCAGCTCGGCGTAGGTCTTGCAGAGCGCCCATGGATCCGGGCACGCCACCTTCGCCCAGAGCTCGTTCGCTACCAGGAGGTAGCCCAGCGTTCCAGCAGGCACTCTTCCGCGAAGTTCTCGACGTGGTCGACCCGTAGCCGAGCAGATCCTTTTCAAGCAGTGGCGCCTCATGTCCAGCGGCCGCCGCGCCTCGCAATTCGCGTTGAATTCCGTGGTCTTCCCCCACTCCTCCCCGCGCTTTCAGTGGCCGAGGGCAATGGAGAAGACCGAGGGGTGGCCGCGCAAGACCTTCGTGGATTCGAACTCCCAGGCCAAGAGCGTGGAAGATTTCCCGATCACGAAATAGATGCCGTGGCCCGCGCAGTACGTTCCCAGCTCGATAGCAACCAGCATCGGGCAGGCACCCGCCCCGACAGCCCCCCGCTTCTCGGAGTCCAAGCCCAGGGCCCCCAGCAAGTACTCCGGTGAGCGCGGCGGCGGCGACCGCACCCTTGACCGCGAAGCGCGCGGCGGCCCCACGTGAATCGCCCGATGCATCCCGGCGCGAACGGCCCGCCACAGCCTCGCCAGGTTCTCGTCGATCGCGAGGTCGAATTCCCCGCCGCCCTCGACGCCCCACGCCTCGACCCAGAGCGAGGCGAGGGCGGCCGTCGTGAGGGCGAGGCGGCCCGTTCCCGAGAAGAGCTCGACGAAGCCCGGGCGCCCCTCGCGCAGGCCCCTCAGGATCTGGCGGTCGTCCGCCTCGTCCTCCAGCCCCGGCTGCTCGAAGGCCTCCTCCTCCAGGCGGCTGCGCTCGTCCTCTATGCTGGTAGCCCACCCCCTCGCCTCGCGCCTGGCCTCGGCACGGAGCCCGTGCAAGCTCGCCTTCGCGGCCGCGATGCTATAGCCCCACGTAGAGGCATCCGACATGAAAGCCCAGTCGTGCCAGGCCGAGGTGAGATCCGTGGAGAAGAGGATAAACATGGACACGATCGCCGAGACCTGGTCCTTGACCTCGCCCCACAGGATCGCGGAGCCCCCCCCGCGGTACTGCCGAACCCGCGCGTCGATGGCATGCGCGGTGCCCAGCGACGCCCGCCCACGCATCATGGCCCAGGTCGCCAACCCCAGCCTGGGCTCGACACTCCTCGGCGACGCCGCCCGCTGTGTGACCAGGAACTCGCCCGACGGCGCCAGGTCCTTCATCTTCTCGCCCACGATCCGCAGGCGCCCTTCCTCCGACAGAGTCACCCCCAGCGCGCGCTCGAGCCCGAGGCCGAAGTGCTGCTTGTGCGACGCCAAGCCCTTCTCGCCCAGCTTGATTTTGACCCCCCTCATGTCCGCGCCCACCGCGAGCTCCGAGTCGGCCAGCCCCTTCCTCTCC